AAAGGCTACTGACCACTCAAGCTCTATGGTTCAAGCTATTGAGTATTATTTTCTAAAAGCATCTTAGACGTATACGTATCTAATGTGTCCTGTTTGGTGCCATATCGGTCATGTTCAGTTATGTTGCTCTAGTCTATCAGGTCTTCTTTAGCTTTTTCACTGTAAATATTTGCTAGGGCTCTTTTTCTCCGTCGGCCCATGCATACGTGCTTGGGTGTACGAGTGTGACCCAGCTGCCTCCTTTCTCTTGCCCCCTCCCTTCACTGCCCCTGTGTGTGTATGACTGTTCAGAGACTCTCTGTCTGTGTGCGTGTGTGTGTGTGTGTGTGCGACTGCCAGAGGGGGTGGGGGGTCGGGGTGGCCGCTTGCCGAATCAGCCCCTCCAGTCTCCTAGCAACAGAGCTGTTTGGAGCGGGACGGGTGAGAGAGGGAAAGAAAGAGAGAGAGAAAAGCAGAGAGAAAGAGAATAGGAGGGATAGAGAAGAGGAGAGGGGGATTGAAAAATATGCTACATCTGGAAAAAGCCCAGGCTTGCTGGGTCTCGAGAAAAGAGAGAGACAGAGAGAGTTTTAGAAGGGGAAATGCTGATTACTGCTGCTGACAATTCACAGCGCTTCTTTAAAATGATGAGAGGATGATGAAACCGTGCACTTTCAGGCCCAGAAAGCAGTATCTCACACACACCAGTTCAGCTCTACAGTGGTTTAATGATTAAACACACGCTGTTGCTCCACGTCGGGAACGAACAGTCAGCTCTGCCTGCGAATCTAAACACTGCTCTTTTGTGCTTTGAGGAAGAGTGAGTTGAGAAGAGTGTGTTCACCTGATCAGGGTTAACTGAAGATAAAACACTCACTGTGTGAATCATACTTTCTGCTGTCACAATCGGTTACTGTTTATTGTATTAGTAATTTAAATAGTAGGTCTACATTTAAATCAAACAAGCATTTCATTGTTTATGTATTTTTTTTTACAATCTTATGCACTCTGGTATGCTTGATTTTGATTGGTCAGTTGTTGCATTCTGTAAATATTGTTGACCACTAAACGGTTATTCGCCGTTGTCCCAGTCAACTAATTTCCTAAATATCCGAAAATAAAACTTGTGTTATTATTTACTCATGTTCAAGTTATACCGTATAACTTGCTTCAGCAGAACCATTTTAGTACAAAAGAGCCTGATATTTAAACGATTTTACAGTAAAACCGTGGTGAAAACGCTGCTCTTCTGTCCGTCATGCAGCACATTCCAGACCACTAAGTGGTAGAAATGCACATTTTTATGCTGTTCATTGAAACAGTAGAATAAGCAGGTGACCATTTCAACCACCTAGTGGGCTAGAGTTATATGGGTTGGAAATGACATGAGGGGGAGTAAATAAACTTTTTTGGGAGGAACTGTTCCTTTAAGTAAATACAGTAAATAAATAGTCAGCCATTGTACTCTGCAGGCCCTTTTCCCATATAATACAATTTCAACTCAAATTACAATATTCATCTTATTCATCATATTGTTATTGTGTGAGTACAGAGTCATTGAAATACAATATTTCATGTCCAATTATTAATTTATTTACAAAGTTGTGAAGTAATAAATCAGATAATGTACAGTTAGCCAGTCATTATTGCAAAACAAACCACTTTAGGGTGAAATTAGATCCCATGCTTTGCAGTGGGATTTATTTTGGGATGACCATCTGATTTAAATGTGATATATTGTTTCTATTGCACACACAGTGATTCAGTAACTTAACACTGAACTGGCCCATATTTGAATCTATATGGGTGCAGTACGGTGTCGCTGTGTGTCAGGTTTGGCCCAAGTTAGGCCTTGGGTAGAGCTGAACAGATCGCCCTGATCCTGCTGGCCTACTTTAGTCACCCATACACTTGTGTCCCAGACTGTGATGTGCCCTCAGATTGGGGAAAGATGTTTGTGTCTGAACAAAAAATGTTTGTGTCTATGAGCACATGTGTGAAAGCAACTGGAATGAAGCATTCAAGCTAAGATGGAGATGTTTGTAGGACAGAGTCAAACACACACAGTCCTCCCCCCACTGCTATGGCTGATGCTTTCTTCTCAAAGGTATTGCAAGAGCCTGTGTCTGGTGTCCTCCTAGAGGGACCATTTCTAGGATATTCTCTGGTAGACAGAGAGGAAGAGTGTTTCTGCATAGGTGTGGCGTGGTCACATCGTGACCAAGATCATGAAAACCAGGTTGGTGCATGTTTGACTGATCATGGCATAATAAGAGTGGTAATTATGACGAGAGGAGGGAACGCATGCACGAGCCGGACGGCTGGAGAGGGCCGGATTAAAGCGAGACTGCTCTGTGCAGTCTTTTAGTGGTTTTAGTTGCCATGGCAACCTTCATTACCTTGCACTTGGGAAAGGGGGAGTGAGAGAAAGAGGGAAGATGGAGCAGGACAGGAGAAAAAAGGAATGGAGAGCAGCAGAAAGAGAGAAAAAATGTGTCTTTGGGAAAAGGTGAAAGAGAGAGCAAAACAAGTGGAGAATACAGGAAGAAACGTTAGGCCCACTGGGAATCAAAGTAGAAATTTGCAGTAAAAGAATTAGGGAGAGAGAAATAATGTATGAAGAGGAAGGAGAATGACTGCTACTTCCTTCTTTTACACCCCACCTGCTGTTGTGTGTGTGTAAAAAATTAAAACAGGCAATACAAGCTAGCTTAATTTATGCCAGTTATAGAATCTTGTAACAAAACAAAAGAAAGCAATACTGAAGTCTAGAAAAGATGTTTGTGAGAATTTTTTTGTGTAATTTTTCAATGTTAAAATAAATAAAAATAAATAACCAAAATAAAATCCAGTTTAATATTACAATAATCAAGTTTATTATTCAGAGATAAGCTATTAGTAATAAATCCCCCCAAAAATTGTACTGTACTGTGTAAAGTGGACTGTGGGACTTCAGGTATAGCCCGGCATAGCAAGAGCAGCTGATCCAATGGTGTGATTTTGGGGCAGGACAAGAGGAGTGTTCTGGAAACCTGTTTGAAAACAGTACTTTTTGCAGTTCCATTTTGTTTCACATTTAATAGAAGTTAAATAAGTTACAGTTACTTTGGAAAAAGTTGTGTCATTCTGAAGTAAAGCCAAGAAAAAATAATGAGAGAGCAACAAAGAACATGTGACGGTTGAGCCTGTGTGGGACTGGGGGAATAAGAAGGTTGTCTTAGCAATCAGAGTTCCTGCAGGTGTCACATGACCTGCTGCCCTGCACACCTGCCCGAGAGCGCTGCCAGTTGCCATAGCGACAGGGTCAGCTTTATGGAAAGCACTAGGGTTGAAGGTGGCAATGGTGGCTGGTTGTGTGTGTGTCTGTGGTGAAGAAAGCATTTAGTTTTAAAATGCTGCAGGAAAGTGTTCAAAAACCACACTCTTTCTCTCGCACACAAATCTAAACAGTGGAGATATTTTGTAAGAAACCCCTTGAGCTGTGGAGGACTTAATATTAGATTCAGATCAATGAACGTCTGAATAATACACTACACAAAGAGACTCTCTTAGCCTTATACATAGCCACCATAACCTTGGAGCGGTACTCATAAAGCCCTGTTGCACAGCACTCATCCAGGCGCTGTTTAAGTGACTGAGATCAGCATAAATGTGGAGAATGCAACTCAGAACTCAAATAATGTATGAGCTGTAAAGAAGTGTGCCCATAAAGATACCAGTCTGACTGGTGCAGGCAGAGTTCAGCTGGTTGCTGTATCATTACTGCTGTCAGAGGCCTTTGAGCCTGTCAGAGTGACTCTTACTCCTGAAGTCTCATGCTGCCAAACAAGACTACAGTTTACTGGTCTAAAACACAGACAGAATTGCTTTGCAGCTGTCTGAAACAAACCTGGAATTGTGTAATGGGTTTAATCTAGGGATTGTTGGGGGCAAATTTATGGTTTAAGACTTTCACGGATTGTAGGTTTTTACACTTATTGTCATTTTACATCAGGGCTAATATTGCGAGCTGTTTCACAAGAGGCAAACAATCATAAACTAAACAGTGCTTACGTCATTAAATATTCATGAGCTTTGTACAGTCGCTGAAACTTCACATGCTGTTTAGTGGCGTTGTTTGAGAGAAAAATGAAAATGTCGAACAAATGCAACTGGATTGAAGATGAGAATGTGTTATTTGTTTTTGTACAGAGCTGTTACTTGTCCAATCAATGTTACTGACCTCATGAATATGCAAATAAAAACATTAACCCAGGGTTTACAAATGTACAGTGGGAAATCTAGTAACCTGAATTGAAACCAAGTAATACCCATTTGCGGTGGTTGTGAAAAGCATAATAAAGTACGAGTGATAGGCCATGTTCACACTGCAAGCCTTGGGGGCCATTCACACAGAATGTGTTTTTCCATTCCACTACGCTACTTTTCCATTGCGTGTCTATGTAAACACTCTAGACAGATGTGTTTGACCGTTGCACTCATGTCACGGTCCTCAAGTTAAAATAAGATCAACTTTTAAAAAATGCATCTCGAGATTTATTTCCCCATCCACTGCCCGCATCTTGTGTTTTTCAAAGCAAAAACAGGTTCACATGTGTGAATGGCCCTGAAATAACCAACATGTGCAAAAGAACAGTAACAAAGATGGTACACAGAAAGCTGTCATACAAAAAAAAAATCTTTGGATTGACTCCCGACATCACAGAATTGTAATGAATGTCAATTTGAAGTGACGTAAAAGTAGTATGGATTCCAATGATATGACTGTTCAGACTTCATTGCAAAACATCAGACCTGTATGTGAATTAGGAACACATATGGAAGGGGCCAAATCAGAATCGGAAAAACAAGATTCCATGTGGTTTGTGCTGTTCACACAATGGAAAAACAGATGATAGTCACATGTGAGCAAATTAATTTGGGAATTTGGGCCACTTTTACCTGTAGTCTAAAATAGTCATAGTTTTTGAATGTCTTTCTTCTGTTTTTCATAATCACATTTTCTCTCTGTCTCTCTACAGTGTTCAGATGGAGGGGCGGCCCAGGACAGCTCTTTGAAGCGGGTTGCTGTGGTGGAGGATTTTTTTGATATAATCTATGCCATGCATGTTGAGATGGGGGCAGATCCCGGACGAGCACCCAAACACGCCGGCCAGAAAAAGACCTATAAAGCGGTGAGTTGCAATCATTCAGTGCATAAAAAATAGTCAAGACACACTTCAGCGAAACTCTTTACTCTTGCTATAAAAGTACATGCATCATAGACTTTGTGTGCAGCAATGTGCAAAACACCCCTCTACTTATTCTTATGACCACACAAACAACTCTAAAACAGAACATCTGAGTAACTATCATCTGAGTAACTATAATGAGTGGAGGCTGTTGCTGGGGCAACAGCAGCCATTTTGAAACACCTGTCGCAATGTTGAGCCATTATAGTCTATATAGCAACAAGGAGTCCAAGCTTTAGATAAAAGAACACATTTTGTGGATTTACTCTTTGGGTTTTTTTAAGGCAGCAATGCACTAATGCATACTAGCGATGCTGGCCAGCTTTTTCCGACTCGCATCCACCCACATATGTGAAAAACAAACGATGCAATCTAAAATCTTTTTAAACCTGATCTCGTCTGCCCCACCAATGTAAGTCAACATCACTACCTCTCAAGCTGTCAAACATGACAAGACCTAAGTGACAAGTATTGCATCATGGGACTTATATAAAGCTGCCTGGTTCGCCAAGCCCAGAGGAAAATTGTATTTCTCAGAGTTTGCCCTTTTGTGAATCAGGACTTCTGTTGTTCTCAGTAGGGCTTCACAATTAATTAAAATAAAACCGAAATCGTGCTATGGCTTTGTGTGATTATGCATTGTGTGTTTCAGAGTGAAGTGCCATTGTGTTCTTCTACACGTGAACAGCTCATTATTTTGTGTTTTCAGTTCACAGTAAATGCAGCGCCACACAAACTTATCTGAATGTTCTGAACATGGACCAACCGTCTTTCCAAACTTCCAATGAAAATAGCATATAAACTGGCTGATGTCAACAAAAGAGAACCTTTAAGGTGTCCCTGTAGTTTTCCACCAAAATAAATTGTTTAACATCTCGAAATTTTTAATTGTGATAGCCTTAAATATTAGAATTGTCATTTTACAGTATATAATAAAATATCTAAAAAAAAAATTTAAATCACAGTAGTAACATTTATAATATTTATTATTGTACAAACCCAATTCCAAAAAAGTTGGGACACTGTACAAATTGTGAGTAAAAAAGGAATGGAATAATTTACAAATCTCATAAACTTATATTTTATTCACAATAGAATATAGATAACATATCAAATGTTGAAAGTGAGACATTTTGAAATGTCATGCCAAATATTGGCTCATTTTGAATTTCATGAGAGCTACACATTCCAAAAAAGTTGGGACCGGTAGCAATAAGAGGCCGGAAAAGTTAAATGTACATATAAGGAACAGCTGGAGGACCAATTTGCAACTTATTAGGTCAATTGGCAACATGATTGGGTATAAAAAGAGCCTCTCAGAGTGGCAGTGTCTCTCAGAAGTCAAGATGGGCAGAGGATCACCAATTCCCCCAATGCTGCGGCGTAAAATAGTGGAGCAATATCAGAAAGGAGTTTCTCAGAGAAAAATTGCAAAGAGTTTAAAGTTATCATCATCTACAGTGCATAATACCATCCAAAGATTCAGAGAATCTGGAACAACCTCTGTGCGTAAGGGTCAAGGCCGGAAAACCATACTGGATGCCCGTGATCTTCGGGCCCTTAGACGGCACTGCATCACATACAGGAATGCTACTGTAATGGAAATCACAACATGGGCTCAGGAATACTTCCAGAAAACATTGTCGGTGAACACAATCCACCGTGCCATTCGCCGTTGCCGGCTAAAACTCTATAGGTCAAAAAAGAAGCCATATCTAAACATGATCCAGAAGCGCAGGCGTTTTCTCTGGGCCAAGGCTAATTTAAAATGGACTGTGGCAAAGTGAAAAACTGTTCTGTGGTCAGACGAATCAAAATTTGAAGTTCTTTTTGGAAAACTGGGACACCATGTCATCCGGACTAAAGAGGACAAGGACAACCCAAGTTGTTATCAGCGCTCAGTTCAGAAGCCTGCATCTCTGATGGTATGGGGTTGCATGAGTGCGTGTGGCATGGGCAGCTTACACATCTGGAAAGGCACCATCAATGCTGAAAGATATATCCAAGTTCTAGAACAACATATGCTCCCATCCAGACGTCGTCTCTTTCAGGGAAGACCTTGCATTTTCCAACATGACAATGCCAGACCACATACTGCATCAATTACAACATCATGGCTGCGTAGAAGGATCCGGGTACTGAAATGGCCAGCCTGCAGTCCAGATCTTTCACCCATAGAAAACATTTGGCGCATCATAAAGAGGAAGATGCGACAAAGAAGACCTAAGACAGTTGAGCAACTAGAAGCCTGTATTAGAGAAGAATGGGACAACATTCCTATTCCTAAACTTGAGCAACTTGTCTCCTCAGTCCCCAGACGTTTGCAGACTGTTATAAAAAGAAGAGGGGATGCCACACAGTGGTAAACATGGCCTTGTCCCAACTTTTTTGAGATGTGTTGATGCCATGAAATTTAAAATCAACTTATTTTTCCCTTAAAATGGTACGTTTTCTCAGTTTAAACATTTGATGTCATCTATGTTGTATTCTGAATAAAATATTGAAATTTGAAACTTCCACATCATTGCATTCTGTTTTTATTCACAATTTGTACAGTGTCCCAACTTTTTTGGAATCGGGTTTGTATATAAATAATACTTTTATTTAGAAAATCATATTGAAACAAAATCACAACATTTGGGGGCAATCCTACAAATATTGTGCAGTCCTACAAATAAGCACAGCAAACATGGATTTTTTTTTTATTGCAATCACAGTTTTTATCAGAAAAATCAATATTAAGATATTGAAATCCTGTTTATATTGAAATCTCTGACTTTGATAGCAGACTTGGGAAATCTGTGCACAGTTTGGGACTTTGCTGAGACATTTTCTGAAACTCAGCAATACATGTAATATTACTGGATATTTTTCAGGAGAATAATCTGGGAAGCAGAAGATCCTTAATTTACTGAATAGGAAAAGCAATTACTGAAATCATGTTTCTTCCCAGTGGTATAGGACAAAAAAAATAGCCACAGACAGTGGATTTAATTTTGCACTGATATCCAGCTACACAGCTCTTACTGTCTCTTTCTCTGACTGTCTGAGAAGTCTGAGAGGTCTTAAAAACTTAAGTGTCAGACAGAGTTTTTGTATGATATTTAGTGGAGAAAAAAAACAATGACCATTTTTGGTTCAATTCAAAGCAACTCCAATTTCTTTTTTACTGGTGCTCATAAGGAGTACTTTCTCAAACACTTTTCTTAGGTGTAAAGGGAGCTGTGTGTGTGTGTGTGTGTGTGTGTGTGTGTGTGTGTGTGTGTGTGTGTGACTCCCCTCTCTTTTATCTGAGACACTGG